CGCAATATTTGAATATTTGTATATTTGACGCAATATTTGAATATTTGAATTCAAAATTCGAGTTTGACATATATGATTTTTTTCTATTACTTTAATTGTTAATTAGATATAACTTTGTGTTGTTAGGTTGTGTTACTGAATAAATTAGATATAAATAAATTTTAAAATTAGATATATTATTTTCTTAATTAGATATAAATTCATCCTTTATTAGATATAAATTTATTTTAAAATTAGATACAGATTGCTATATTTTTAGGTATTAGTTTGTATTTACCCCTTCTAAATTTATCCCCGACGGAACTAAAGAAAATTTTTTTTATTTCTTTTCATCTTAATCAATTTTTTTATTCTATCTTACTCAATACAATTAGAATAACAAACATATGCATTCTGTACTTCATGATTTATTTGTATGATAGACTGTATGTTAGATAAATTCTACCAGTTATGAGAAGGTAAATGTAAATAAGAGTAATATAGGCGAAAAATATTGCATAAACGAAAAGGCAGTGAGTCATGAAAAGCGAAAAAGAAAAAGGCTATGGAACATGATCGGACGCTCTTTATGTGTTAGCGTCCAATGTGAAATTACGTCCAATCTGGAATTCCACATTGAACGGATATTTAATCAGGCCAATGTCGGATTGAAGGATCAGAATACGTCCAATCTGAGATTCGCCTAGAAATAGTAGGCGAATCTTAGATTGACCTAGGCCAATGTAGAATTGAAAATAGCATACGGCCAATCTCACATTCGCCTAGGCCAATCTCAGATTCGTTTAGGCCAATCTTACATGAGAAATTAAGTGTACCGTATTCAGTATGGAGGCATCATTTTGTCCATGTAATTTATCAAATAAAAACTGGAGTGGGAAAATATAAATAGACTAAAGTTATTGTTTATGCTAAAAAGGAGTTAATTCATACATTGTTCATATTCTCGTTTGTTCAACTTTATACATTATAATTAATTAAAACTTGGTGTCTGAGCCATAATAATGAACACCAATACATTAACAAATATAATTGTTGATGGACAAGCTACGATTGTAAACAGTACTGATGTAGTTATTGATGATGGTGAAGGCGACCAGGTTTCGAACGAAGAAAAAACATTTTATTCTAAGTTAAACATGTATAAAAAAAGTTTAAAGTATTCCGAAAAAATAATGATATCATTTGATTATTATCAAAAAACAATTCATTGTTTAAAACAACCTAAAAGTGGTAAAGCAATTGGTATTGATACTAAATTTCATTTTTGGTGCAAGAAAAATTTTAAAATTGATATCACTTCAGGAATTGAAATTTTATGTTCAACGAAGAATGGTCGTCGAATTGTTGTTATTGAATCATATTTTGCTATTTTGAAAGATATTCATAAAAAAACTGGTCATGGCGCTCGTGATAAAATGGGCCACGAGATGAACGAACATTATTATTGGATCCCGGCTCAAGTTATTGATATATTTTTACAGTGTTGTACATCTTGCATAGTTAGAAAATCTGTTAAACTACCTGTTACACGAACAGCTATTATATCGGTCGGCTTCTTAACCCGTCTTCAAATTGATCTCATAGATTTTCGTACACGACCAGATAAAGAATTTCAATGGATTCTCCATTGTCGTGATCATTACTCAAAATATTCTTGGGGTTATCCATTAGTATCAAAGGAAGCTCAACGTGTTGCTGATCATCTTTTAACATTATTTTAACAATTTGGGCCTTGCAAAATTTTACAATCGGACAATGGCTGTGAGTTCACGGTCAATGTCATTAAAAATCTTACAAACGTTTGGCCTGGATTGATCATAATAAATGGAAGACCTCGACACCACGAGAGCCAGGGGCTAGTCGAGAGAGGAAATTCAACTTTATGTAAAATATTAAGTGTACATTTTTGAGGATAATGACAAGCTACAATAGAAATATGTTCAAAGTTAGATAAATGATCATTTGTGGATCACGCTATAAAATAGTCTTATTTGAAATGACTTGATGATGGTGAAATCTTCTCTTAACGGTTCAATAAAATTTTCTTCAGGCTACAAATTGATATAATTATTTTTCCTTCATTATATTCAACTTATCGTATTATTATTTTTCTCATTTTTTGAATATATACTATTCGTTCATGTTTCTAAATCCAATAAGTGCATACAAAAAGAAAAACATTATTGTAACATTTGAATAATTCGTTATCTAAATCAGAAATACACAGATAACAGACTTTGACTAATCAAATTCAATCAAATGAAATAAACTAGATAAATGTTTTTGTTTTAATAATCTGAACTCTGGAAAACTTCATAATATACTTTAAAATATCCATACAAATACTATTTTTTCATGTGACGTTTAGTTTATATCTGATATTTATACATGATTCATATATATTCATTATTTTTTATTCCATCAATTTTTATTTTTGTATGATAATCCAATATCATGCGATGAAGACGTTGTTCAGGTTTCGAAGGTATATAAAATGCATAAAGAATATGATAGGAAGATACATAATGACAAATAAGAAGTAAAATTTCATCTGGTAAATCAAGTAAACAAGTTATACGGTGTAATAATGATTCAAGACAATTTCAAGAATCGTTTTCAATGTATCAATCGATTATTTTTTTTTTCATCTTTTGTTGATACAATTGTTCATCATACGAATAATGAAAATAAAATATGATTGGTAAAAAAATCATATGATAAAGAGTTCAAACATTCTGAAAAAGTAATTTCCTTTCGTGCTAAGAATTTCTAACATCTTTTGAGATCGTTTGTTATAATAATAATAATAAGGATAGATCTTATAGATTTTATTCATAGACGAATCTTTTCTTTGGTTATTTATCGAACTTTAATATGTTATTAAGACAGATTTGAAATTTTTCATTCTAGATAAATATAAAAGCGTTATTAGATGCTGGTAGATTTTTCGAATACTTAGTCATTAATGTTATAATAGTTTAAAGTTATTCTTTGAAAGAAAAGAATAAAGAGAAAAAAAACAATTTATTTTAACCTAATATAAAAAAATCATTTCTGAAATTAAACTACATACAAGAAAAAACATCGAATGTCTAATTGTGATTTATTTTATAAAACACATTTATTGGTACATTAAATACCAATTCAGATAATTTTATTTCAATATTTAAACAATCAAAATCACTAATCAAACAGGGTGTAGATGTGGATGTTGGCGTGATTTTGAAAAGGTGACTGACACCCACACCCAACATACAAAAATAGAATTTTTTATGTCAACTTCGTGTATGCATTCTATTAATTTTTCAAACTATTGCTTCATGGCTTATTATGTTAGCTATAACACGAAAATGTTCAGTACCGAAAAGTTAATCGCTTAAAAAAAAATTAAAATAAATATGAAGTCTATTGAAAGATTAATAAATAATTCTTGTAATCGAAACATGATTTTCGTTTTTGTTTAACATTTGATATAACAGTTATTTATACGCAGATTATGGAAGTGTGGAAATCTAGTCTTAATTTTGATTAATGAGTATATCCTTCAATAACACTAAAATGTAGTCGGTAGAAAAAAAAACAACTTTCAATGATTGTGGTAGCAAGAAATAATATTTCAGTATTCTTCATATATTTTCTATGCTTTCGATTACATTCTATTGCTATATCCATCAATGAAATAGTCATTTAATTCTCTATGAGTGTATCAAAAAGACAAAAAAAAACATTTCTGAAGGACTTCAGCCGACTGCAACCCTTATCAGTTGCTTTTATTGAGTACGTTGTACTGCTCTTTAGTGACGCGACCTTTTTTTGCGCATTAAGTTAAAAATATCTTATACAATGAGTCATGTTCGATATCAATAACGATAAAAAAAGAAAAGAAGAACGAAAGTAATTTTGTATAGGTTTGCATTAAATCTATCATAGAAAAAAAAAATTTTCATTGCATTATGCATGACTACATTGATCGAAAATCAAATATGTATTGATGGAGTGTACACAGTTTGATATGTTTCAAAAAATATTTCTTCTACTGTTCTTTGTCTGTACTCTTTTTTCTATTTTTTGAGATATCTTCTTTTTATTAGACGTACACAATTGTATTTCTTCTCTTTACGACTTTTTTTCTACTATGTACTCAATGAGTCTGTATCATGTGACACATCAAGCAGTATCATAAATGCGTATGTGTAGCTACTAATTTTTTCCTTGTATGCCCTTAGTAAACTCATATTTGTATGACGCATAAAATATAGAAACAAAATGTCATAAGACATACTAATGCGTCAAACGCAAAAGATTATTTTATTTTTTGATGTATACTGACAATCATATTAGAATTCTCATCAAATATGGCTGTCTTAACAAAATTTCAAAATAACGGAAAATGTCTCGAACAGTTACCTAATGAAATTTTTATCGAAATTTTTCAATATCTAAACGGTACAGACATTATCTATGGATTTTCACAATTAAATACTCGTTTTCAATGTTTACTTATCAAATGGGTTAATAAATTTGATTTTAAGTCTATAACTAAAGATAAATTTTATTATGTTATTCAACATCATGATATGCATCGATGGCGATCGTTGCGTCTTTGTGATAATGATAAAGCACCAGGACAAACAAGACTCTTTTGTCAATTATTTCCACTTGCTGAAAATGTTTCTCAATTAGAATCACTTTCAATTTTGAATATGAAGCCGACATTTGCAACGAATGTTCTATCACAATTGGTATCATTTAATAATCTTATTTCATTAACAATTACAACAATTTGTGGAGAAGATATTCAATTATTTGAATTGCCCTCATTAAAACGACTTGTTGTTACTGGATGTAAACACAATGATTGGATAAAAGTAACTAAAGCAAAAAAGATGAGAGATTCTTTAAAATTAAATTAAAATATTATTTTTATTTTAGAAATTTCATTCTTTGAAAATTCTTGAATATACTATAAACTATATGTGTCATTATAATTGTATTTTAACATTACCAGAAACATTACAACAATTGAAATTGTTCTATAATGAAACGAGAGATGGAAAAGATTTACGAATTTCACTTTGTAAAATGTCACAATTAAATAAACTTGCTTTATATGATCAAGGATATTATAGTCCATTACCAGATGGTAGAAAATGGGAAGAACTTATAAAATTATCATTACCTTTACTCAAAACTTTTCAATTTTGTTTTCATTTTGTTTGTTATCCTAATGAGTCATATGACACAAATCAAGCAATGGCTTCGTTTTCTACATCGTTCTACACTGAGGAAAAATGTTGGTTTGTTCGATGTGACTCCAATTATTTATATGCTGCAGAGGGCGTTATTTATACATTACCTTTTGCATTTTCACAAATGCGAATTGATATTAAATCATACGATATGAGCGTATCAACTTTAGTTACAAATAATATTGATACAACAAAATATGATTCATATGATAGAATTCATACACTACTATTTAGTACAACATGTGAAATACCACATCGAAATTTTCTTATATCAAATATTGTTCGATTAGTTCTCAAAGATGACCTTCCTAGAAGTTGGTATTCTCTATTAAAAAATTTACGTTATCTAGAATTTCAACAATATGTATGTATGTCAACAAATGATTTTGCAGATTTTCTTGAATATGCAGTTCAACTTCAATCATTAACATTATTAACTCCTGCTTTAATACAATTAACAGATTCATTTAAAAATAAGATTGTTTGTGATCAATTATCTAAACGAATTCAATCATTAACTATATCTGACTGTTTATCAGATTCGAATAGTTATCAAGCACTAACAAATCCAGACCTTCTTTCCAATATTGTTAGCATATTTCGTAAAACATGCAAACATTTATCATTAAATCTGGTATCATTTCCTAAAACAACTCGACCAATTTTCCGAAATATGCAACAATTACACAGTTTACACATATATTATCCTACTTGGCGTGATAAGTCATATAATACTGCAATAACTTGGTTTCAACAATGTGTATATGACATTGATGCTTCGGATTTTATATATACACCAGATGATGCTAATTTTTATGTATGGATTAAAAATTGAACATATTATATTACAATACAAAAAAATTTTTCAAATTATTTTTATGAGTGTGGTATGGGGTGTGAGTGTGGGTGTGGATGTGGTTGTGGATGTGGTTGTAAATCAATGGAAAACAGACCGACCTATATATTTCTATTATACAAATCAAGCTGCTGTGCTTAACTTTTGCTTTTCAGCAATCGATTTTCTGTCGAAAATTAAATAGAATAATTTATAAATATACTTGAATTAAAGTAATTAAAGAAATACTGAATTAATTTCGCCAACGTATTTAGTGTTATTTATTAAAATATTGAAACACTCATCAGGGCTTTGCATTAGAATAGAAGCAAAAAAGCAGAAAAACCTAAAACCAAAGGATTAACAAGTGAAATCGAAGTACTTTTTGAAAAAAAAAACGAATAATTTTAATAAATGGAAAAGAGGAGGGGCGAGCTTCACTGTGTGTCATATTCAGTTAGCAATTGATCTTGGGTGTGGGTGTAGAAGTGTGGTACAATTTTATTGAATAGAAAAATGTCGTACAGGTTGATTTTCTCTGTCGACGGCGTAGAGATTGCTATGACAATGGAAAGACAAACACGTGGGATTATTCAACTGAACATCTTTACCCAGAATGACAGTGCCTTGTTGTACTTATTGAGGCCCACGAATTACTCGATGATTTTACGGATCTGTTACATAGATGCCACAATTGTGTCGAAAAAAGGCTCATTGTCTTGATATTCAGCAACGACAATGCCTTCGGCTACATCTTTATTTCATTTTACAACACGATAATTCTGGTTGTCTGCAACCGCTCGACAAAGATGTAGTCCGGTCCATTTAGTTGATTCAGATCAACACTTCGGCCATTTCCACCAGCTGCGAGGGTTGTATTTTTCATGTCCCGTCCTAGTTCATACCGTCTTAATGTTTTCCGACGTCAGAGACCTAGAGATATCTCCGATAATCCATGGCCAATCCTCAACAATCGATGTTGCTGATAAGAATTTCGCTTTGTGTCGTTCTACTACGACGAGATCATTCGTCTCTTTGTCAATGAATGCATCAGTTGGAGGATCCAATTGGTATGGTTGACTTCCAGTCAAGATTTCATCAGCTACGACTTGTTCATTCGTATCGCTCATCTTCCGTTGGATAATACAATGATTGTAGCGATCAACGAAGGAACTATGAAGATTGTTTAGTTGATTAGTTTCATTACCTTCAGCAACAGTCATTCCATTATGTGACCATCGTGCATTGAGAGGAATATTTGGAATGACTATAATGAGCAAAAACAATAACAAAAAGAGTAAAGAAAAAGTTCTTGTAAAGCTCGTTTTTCATCAGAATAGAAGAGACAGAGATGAAGAAAATTTTTGAAAATAGGGAATTTCTTATGAACATATAAGAAAGAATAATGATGATGAATTTTCGATGAAGAAATAAAAAAGCTTACAGCATAGAAAACGAATGACATGTCAATACTCCTCAACTTTCATAGAACAAAAAAAGAAAAGGTTAATAATCAAAAAAATGAAAATGTCTCCCTTTCGTAAGTCGTATACAAATTGTAAATTAATAGAAATACATGCATTCACTTTTTTTTATATAGTCACATTCTATCACAACCATCATATTTCTTCAGATCCTCATCATTGATTCTGTCTGCATTTTCTTGGTTTCTTCTCTAGCAGAAAGAAATTAGCGTCAAAAGATAAAAACATATTGCTGTTGTTATATCAGAAGCGGAGAAGAATTCTACGAGTCTTTTTTTCGTCGAGAAAGTAAAAATTGCAAAAGATTATACAATAAAGAACAATAAGTAGACTTTGATAATCCTTCGAAAAAGAACAAGAATGTCATTTTCATTTGAATAGAGTAGAAAGAAGAAGGTTTTATGAATTGGAGAACAAACTTCCAAAGTAATGATGATGATGTTACAAACAGAGAAGGAAAAAATGAATAGAATAAAGAATAAAAGTGACATGAAAGAGAATTTTGAGAAAAAGTTTTGGAGACACAGACAAATGATCTTTTGCTCTTATTGTTAGTAATCGAAGGTTTGAGATGATAATGTAAGAGAATAGAAAAATAATGACCAATGATATTCAAGAGGAAAAATTGTATTTGTCATCAATAGAGAAAAAAAACATGAGTAGAGAATATGACAAGAATTTGAGAAGGAAATGAAAAGTTTTTCTGTAGTGCAAATCAAATATCTTTCGTTCGAATAGAAGAGGAATAGATACAAGGAAAAAAAATCAATTATTATTATTATTATATTCTATATTACAAAAAATAGAAGAATATAAATTTAAGTTTTTCTTCAAAAGATGAGTAACTTTATCCATTTTAAAATAATAAATTTTATTATCGATTTCATACACTTAATACCAATAGAATTATAACGAAACAGAGAAATTTTAACACACCGACACCCTCTTATCTAGATTTTGTAATATTGAACTATGTGTTTAATATGCGTATCGAGTTTATTTATTTAAAGATAATCTGTCAATACATGTTTATTTATACATAAGCTTCATTTGATATTCGATAGTTTTTAGATTGTCGTTTAACATCAATTATATATTTAGCACGCAACTATAATATGTTATTTACAGTCACATTCTCCTCAAGGCCAGATAAAATATTATTCTCTCAATTACTGATTGATTCTTGTAAGTATACAAAAAAATTAGAGATTATCAATATAAATATTATTGATTTTAATATACTTATCTACAAAAATCTTCTGAAAACAATCTGAGCAATATAACTATTCAAAGATCATTTTCTATTTTACGATAATTAAAAATTGTTGAAAAAAAAAATAAATTTGATTTATAAATAGAAAAATAAAAAGATAAATTTTAGTTTGTAATTCGTTTTTGTTGGTATAATGGTGATATTAACAGTGACAACATTCAAATGTTAATAAAGTTGATTATTACATGATAACATATATAAGTAAAAAATAATCATCTGATCATGTGAAATGTAATTTAGATTAGAGAAATTTGAAAGAGAATATTTTAATTAAATTATATGCGAGAATTTTTTGAATAAAATTCTTTACAGAACATAAGATACATTATGTTTTATTTACTTTATTAGAAAAAAAATTCTACAAAGACTTTTACAAGAAAAAAAAAGAATGTACTTTAACGCGCTGATAATTGTTAAAAATATGAATAAATATTTCGACATTTTTTATATTTATTATACCATCCCTTGTTTCAATTACAGTAAGATGTTGAATATTTTTGAATAAGTCGCTATTTTCAAACATAAAGTTAACGAGATCAGTTCTAAAAGATAAACCTAAAAGATAGTTGAGATTTTTATTATTAGTACTCTACGCAAAGATATTAGATTTGATGTTTTACCTTCCCACTTGTTAAGCTCTAATTTCGTTAAATTCGTCGTGCTACTAAGTAATTGGATCATAAAATCTTGTGGCAGATAGCTCTTAATAGTCAATGATTGTAATTCCGATAATGACACTATTTTATTTAAAAATATCCAAATCGAGTGATACTCGTCTGGTGTCAGACGATTATGAATAATACGACAACATCCACTATCACTGTCACTTTCACATTCGTTGCTTGCAAACCGTAATGGATAAATTACAAACATTCGAAAATACAAATGATGATAAATCTGCATCGAGCCATCGAAAAGTATTACTGAAATATAGTTTTAATGTTTCTACATGATCATATCTATTGAAAACTCCAGGAGATGATGATAATAACTTTTCATCGAAAGATAATGTTAATTGTTTTTTCATATATGGCATTGTATAAAGTTTGTCATAATCAAAAGCAACAAACCTAAATAAATATCAAACTTATAATTCAAAAGTAAAGATGTCATGTTTTGTGCTTCACAAAACCTTTTGGTAAGAATTAAAAGATAGATTTGTATATTATTGATTTAAGATAGTGTGAAAAAAAAAGGGAAATAGTTACATTATCATGAAGAATTTGATTTCAAATATGTACCCACACTAGACTCAATTATTCATTTTGAAAATTTAAGAATCGAAGATATTATCAAAACTTGAGATCCAAATATAGGTGCATGCAACCAGTACAAACCTCAACAAGTACTATAATAGGAAGTATCAAACTACCCTTTAATATGAAAGATAGGCTTTCCTTAGAGCTTTGTAATATTGTGAAAAAAAAACGCCTATAATTTATTACATGGAGTTAAAATATCATAAATTGATTATCTTATGCTAGAAACAAAATTTTGTGAAGATTACATACAAAAAAAATAAAAGGCTTTTAATAAAAATGAGTAAATGGACAATTTTATCACTAAACTACAATAGACAATATTTATGCTATTTTGATTCTTTCTAATGAAGTTTGGATGTTTTTTTCGATTAGACTGAAAATATTGACAAATCTTATTTATCATATAAAAGAACCATTCAATTTTTTTTCCTGTTCTTATGATTTATTGAGTCTTGTAATGATTGAATACATGCTTGTTGCTAGCGTCAGATTTTTTTTCAATAGCTACAATTATAGAATGTTTAGAAAATGGTTGATTAAATGATTTGTAACTTAGAAAAATAAGATCGACTTGAGGTGAAAGTTTGACCGAAAACAAAAAGAAAAAACATTGGGTTTTTAAGTGATGGATTGAACATGATTAGATTTATTTCTGTCATTTTAAGGGAATAGTGTTTGGAGTAGCGCTTTCTGTCAGAGTACATCGAGTTCTAATTTGGATAAAATTGAATGATGAGTCTGAGTGTATTTTTTCTTTAAAAAGCTTAATTAACCGTGATTACTTAGCGATCAATCTGAAATTTTTTCGCTCAATTCGTAATTAATCAAGATGTAGGTGTGGGTATGGAGTGAGTGTGCTCTGAACCCACCCACATCCACACGCACACACACACAATAGATGTAATGTAGTTATCGCTGATATGTTACTATATTTATCATACATTAAATGCATTATAAGAAGTAGCAGGATATTTAGACTAA